GGCAGCCGCGGCGCAGCGAGCCCCGCCACGGCGGGACGGCAACGGTGCGAGGCCGCGGGCACCCCCCGCCGGGCGCCCAGGCTGCCCGCCCGCCTTGGGAACACGTTTCCTTGCGCTGGAGTGCGCGTCCAAACGGGATGCGTGCGGGCGGGCGGCGGTGCCCATATAACCGCTGCGGAGCCCGGCAGTGACCACAAAGCCCCCGAGACTAACTTCAACTCCGGCCTAGCAGGGCTCCTTTGCTGCCTGGGCCTGGCAAAGCCAGAGTCGAGGCTCRTGTCCTAGCAGGGCAGCTTACAAGTACGGGCGCAGTGGGAGCGAGGCAGCTCCTGGCCTTCCTGGCTACAGGCAAACTAAACCTGGGCTTTGGGAAGGCGTTCGCTGCAYGCAGAGCAGTACAGGGGCTAGGAAAGCCTCACGGGGAAGGGTAAACCCTGAGTACGGATTGGCAAGACCGATCTATGAACGTTAAGTTACTGGGATTGCGCTGGGCAGGAGGGAGCTGGGGCTGATTGCCCACAAGGGACTTGTCACCTCTGTGCAACTAATAGGGACAAAGGGATCAGTCCCAGGCACTGCTCTGGCCCAACTGATGGGGCCGGTTCCATATCCTGCAAACACGGCCACTTCGGCCAAGTTTTGCACTCTAGGATTCCTCAGATGTGACTCGCCATCCCTGGCAATTAAGCCTGGTGCTTGTAAGCGCAACTRTGAGTCTATCAAGTTCCAGGTTTCTGTTGATTCAGTGATCAAAGTGCATCAGTGCTGCTTAGTAGGTGAGATTGCTTTTTAAGAGTGGTGGAACAGGCAAGATGGCTCCTCACCTCTGCAAAGGAAATTCAGCAAGTCAGGGAAAAAAGAAACACGAACAGAAGAGCTAAATCACAGAACTCTCACAAGAATTAATGTCTATAAAGTAATCAGGTGCAAAAACAGGCTGCAGATGAAAAAGAGAGGATCTAATCAACACATTTGGCACAAGTTTTTGTGGAAAGTGAGGAAAAAGATGAGGAATGACCTGGGGGCAGAGGAAGGAACCTCCTTGAACAGTAACAAAAAGACAGCTTCTGTTTGAGGAGAATAATCAATAATTACTTCTTAAAAGCACTATGTTGGCTGTCTCATCAGTATTGCATCTCTGCAGTAGTTATAGTGTTAAGAGTCCTAATAGGATATCGCAGAGCAAATGCTCCTATTTATTTACCTTTAGAMTCCTACACAGCATGTGACAGGAAAGAACAGGTTTTTTCACAAGATTCAGAAACTTTAAAATCTTTTAGCAGTCACAGGGACAACATCCATATGTTCCTTTGACATTATGTATGGCATATATTGTGCCTATGAAACTGCCTTTGTATTTTCCTGTTTTCCTCCAGAAAAAAAAAAAAAAAAAAAACACATAGATGTGTTCTTGCTTTCCATAGATCTTCCTTTTTGAAGATGCTGCCCTTCAACAACCTTACACAAAAGAAGGAGGAAGGGTACTTACAAGCGATACTGAGTCCAGCAAAAGGACAATAATGAAAAGCCGATATACGGAATGCATGAGGTACAACTGCAGGTGTAAGAGAAACTTAGATTAAAACTGAGAAAAAGCCTTCATTTTGTGGGTAGAGATGTATTTTCCGCAGGTGAAATACTTTTCACTCCTTGCTCTCTTCAGTCTGGGCTGTGCTCATTCTGMAGCTTCCTGCTGCTTTCCAGACCCAGTCTTCTTCTCCACAATTAGCAATTCTGTTGAAAAAAATGACTAGCTCCCATAAGGCTCATGGAGCCTGATTTCCATAGAGTGARTATGTGCAAGAAAAGGACAAAATGATGGAATTTTTAACACCTCCACTAAGCAGCAACGATGTACCTTGATTATTGGAGCTACAGCTCARATAATGAAATGGGGCTATGAACTTTGTATGCCTATATACAGTTTACTAATGCAGGATTTATAGTTATAAGAGGAATATGATTAATGGGACATGTTTGCTAATTCCTTATGTCTTTTGAAAAAGAAAAATTTAAAATAGTTATAAATATCTGTCAATTTTTGAACTAGTATTCATTACCATCCCTTTTAAGTCTAACAATAAGATAACTTTTAAAAGCATACTTTTTTTCTTTTATGTCATGTCTGTAGCAACTTTTTAAAAAATGTACCTTTCAGATACCAGATCATGTGCAGAATTTAAATCTGGGAGCAATGAACCCTCTATGAAAACTATAAATAAAGCCACATACATTTTTTTACATCCACAACATGAGACCAAATGAAGAACAATTGTTTTAAGAACTTGCTGTATGGAAATCCATTATGTTCTGAAATGTGCAGCACAAATGGGGATATGCATCTCTTACTATTGTACTGTACATTTGTATTTGCATTGCCCRGAAGTCGTAGTGGCTGCAGGCAGGTAGTCAGCAAAAGTTCACGGCAGCTGAGCACAATGTGCTCAGCAGCCACTTGGGCTTGGGATGCAAGCTTGCAAACTGGCACAGAGTTTTCCTTTGCTAAAACTGAGACATCTTTACTCTTCTTTCCCTCCTCCTGAGCTCTGCCACAGGCTGGGTAACCACATCCATGGTAGTTTGTTTTGGGGCAACCACAGCCATGATAGTTTTTYYCCCCCTTTTTTTTTTCCTTTTTCAGTTGTCACGATGGCAAATGCCATAGTTTGTCATTCCTCTGAGGCTGTAGAGTGGTCTCACCATACTTTCTACAGGCCTTTGAAACAATGCAAATGGCTTTTTTACTCCTGAGCAGCACCAGGTTAGCTCTCCTAAACCAGTGCCTGACACTCTTTGGAAGTTTCCATCTTCCACCTATGGGTCCCAGTAAGCAGGACTTCTGTGGCTGAGAAGATGGGTAACGATAAAATCTGTGGTGAGAAAATGAGTTAGAAATGGCCTCCCTCTACAAAAATATTTATGATGCAGAACATATTTCTGAACTGTGTGACTTGGAAAATAATAAGAGGATTGTTAGGGGGGAATGTGCCCTGATGTTATTTGAAAGGAGGCTTCCAACATGATGTTTCATAAGCCTGAAAAATCTTGGCTGCTTTGGAGTGAAAGTTAGATAATGCTGTCTTGTGACATTTGAAACTTACTGTAGCACTGCTTTATTTTGTATTCCTAGAAACACAGAGATCAGAGGAGAATAAGTTTTGCAAGGTTTGCTCAGGACTTTGGAGGCTGGCAGTGCCAGGAGCTTTCTTGGGACTCTGATGATAGCTCAGTTTGTCAGGTTGACAATCTGCCCCCTCCTACCTGCCTGTCTGAACTACTTGTCATTCAGTTGCTGAATCTCTACAGCTTATAAAATGGTGCTTAAAGTCAAATTATAACCAAAAACCGGCATTCTGAAGAAAAGAAAGGTCATAGCTGCTAGCAACCAAGCTAAGCAGCTAAGCACAGTGTGAAACTAGATGGGTTACCATAGCAAGAGACTAGAGAAGGGATTGAGAAAGAAAAAAGAAAAGGATGGCTGAGATGCACTGAACCACTGTATCCTCTCTGCAAAACCACACTTGGGGAAAAAGCCTTCCTAGTGCAATTGTTGCTTTGATGACACAGGGGAAAAAATAGGAATGTTGCCACAGTGGGAAAGGGAGACGTTAGGGAGAAATCAAGAAACTGAATGCAAGGCAGAGACAGTAATAGCTATGACCAGAGACATTTCAAATACGTGCAGTGAGATAGTTAAAAGATCACTTAGAAGGGGTACCTGATGAAATCCAACTGTTTGAAAGTTATGTGATAATATCTTATGTGTATCATTCCTCTCCCTGAATCCAGTTTTTAGCACAATATACTGTTTATAAGATGCGCAGATCTTGAGAGGACTGAGCCAGTTTTGTGACAGCACTGGCTTCTCAGTAAAACACGAGGTCAGGGTTCACACTGGCATCTTCTCCGCACCCCAGCCAGGCTGCTGCTCTGCATCCAGAAGCTCTTTGTTTCCCATCCTTCCACTTGCCACCCCACTCAACCAGCCTAAGTGACTCCAAATACTCTCCTAGCAATGTTGTAATTCAAGAACTTTCTTTATCTTTGTGCCTTCTTTCTGCAAGTAATGGCCAGATAACGAGATCTTTGGCCTCTGTAGAGCTCCATAAGGAAACACAGGGTTCAGAAATGTGATTATCGTTGTGCCCAGCAGCACAGGACTGCAGTCCTTGGTTTAAATAGATATCTTACAAACTTGGCCTTATGCCAGCATTGAAATGGTGGGCTGTTACACAGTCACCGTAAGCGCAAACCAACGTAAATACAGTCTCCCAAACTATCTGCTCCCTGTAGGAAGCAGAACGGCTGGAGCAGTGCCAACAGCGTGGGCAAAGTGTTCACGTGCGCGGAGTTCACATTAACGCACTGCTGTGAATGGCTTCTCATAGGACCACACACTTTCACTAATTGCTACATACATATATATATACTCACTGTGTGTATAAGTGAACATTTTGACRTAGATTCAGTACCAGTGAGAACTTCCCCTCCAAGTAACTTTTATCTTAGTGTAGGCTTGTTTCCTGGCAACTGAACTAAGAAAACTGTCCTTGCATATTACACATTAGAACATTAGACTRTAATTTGATTGTCATTACCTCCTTCTTTAGATGTAACTTCCAAGATGTCATACAAATCTTCAGGTATGGATATGTCTACCTCGTAGATAGAATAWATATTGCACACATATAGAGGAGATATTAATGTACCTTTTGGCTTGAGRTACTGTTTGGTATCTCCTGATGACCTTGAAAGGAAAGAACAGTGTATTGTTCCCCTCAGTACAAATACATGTGTAGGCAGAGACTTTCTGTCTGTGGAGAAGGAAGGAAGGTGGTGTGCCAAACGGGGGTGGTTGGTCCATCAGGTGTCACAGGTCCTTGTCTCACACCCGCTTGGTGGGACGTAACCAATTTARCAATATAAAAAGAATAGATTAGGGAACTTGACATTTGAAATGGAAGCGAGCTTCCTCTTTTCAAATGGAAAAATACCCCAGTGCAGTTGCTGCCACATGCTGCTTGTTTGATTACAGCCCATAAACGGTGAGTGATCGGGGAGAAGGAGCCACCCTGGCATCGGGGACACTCAACCGAGACCCTGGCTGAGCAGGGACCCGGGGGCTGCCTCCTGTCACCAGTGTCCCACGCTCTTTCCTCTGTGGTGACTGAGGGATGTAACCACGTTTGGGTTAGCCAGCAGGGTGCTTTGTAGCTTAGTGTACTTGATTCCTGCTTTTTCTGTACCTAACCCCTGGGAGTYCGTGATTTTCCTGTGCAGTACAAATAAACCTTGTGATACCGTACCCGAGATGTGTGGTGCCTTGCCGCCCGGAATCCCCAACCCCTACCACAGGTGGGCATGAAGCTGAGTGTGTTGGTGCGCTTTCCGGGTCCAAGCAACGTCCCCTTGAAGGAAACGGCACGTTCCCACCTCCAGAGCCTCTCCTTGCAGAAGGRAAGGTGAAGCCATGGCCAGGTGTCCCTGTCTTAGGGCTGCACTGGAGAAGTTGACAGGGCTGTGTGTATGTGACCACTGTCCCTCTGGKCCTCTATACCAAGGTGTGTATGTGTCTGCTCTCCTTGGACCACCTCTACATCATGGAGTATAAGTGTTTGCTCTGGCTCCTGGCATAGAGAGCCTCTACACCAGCTCTGTGCGTGATTGCTGTCCCTCCTGGACCTATGTACAAGGGTGTATGTTTGTCTACTGTCCCATACCTCCATACCATAGTGCATACACGTCCGCCCTCCCCCCTGCACCTCTATACCATGGTGTACATTTCTCCGCTGTCCCCTCTACCCCAGGTGTATACATGACGGCTGTCCCTCCTGGGCCACCGCACCAGGGTGTGCAGGTGACGGCTGTCCCTCCTGGGCGTCCATACAGCGCCTATAGGTGCGCGGTGTCCGCGGGCAGCGTTCCCCGGGGGGGGGGGGGGCGGGTGACCCGCCCCGCGGCCACCGCGACAGCTGCGCGCAGGCGAGTTGGGTAGCCGCCCCGGCCGACACCGCGGCCACCGGGCCGTGCCAGCGATATAGAAGGACATTGTATAAAACGCCACTGGGAACCACGGCCTCTGATTTTTTTTTTTTTCCCTTTTTATTTTTGGCAAGTGAGGGCAGCTCCACGCGGYGCAGGCAGCGCCGCGGCCACCCCCGGGCGGCGCGCCGGGGTCCTCGCGCGGTATAAGAGCTCGCGGCGGAAGCGCCGCCCCCTCTTTGACCGGCGGCGGCGGCGGCGGGTGAGCGGCG